CCTCCTCCACGCCGATGAAAGCCGCCACCGCCACCGCCGCGACTCCGGAACCGATCCCGAGACATAGCTGCAGTCAAGGGGCGGTTGAGGCAGAAGCGGAGAAGTTGCTCGGGGAACGTGGATGCCACCTTGCTTCGTACAAAATGGCGGACGACACAAGCTGCGCGCCGCCTTTGTCCTCGTCTTAAATAGGCCAGCCCGGCCTGGCCCGCCTCCCCTAGATTGGCAGCTGAGTCGGCCAATAGCAAGTACAGAACTCGATGATGAAACCGAAGTCGTCCCTATTGGCTTCCTTGACAGAGGCGGGGGGGAGGGAGGGGCGGAGGTTTCCATTTGACCTATGAAGGGGTAAGGAGTTGTCTATCCGCCTCTTTGATTTGTTGGGAGAAATTTGAATGGGCATGTCTTGCAACTTTCCCGAGAAATCAAATATCCAGGACCCTATCAGCTGCCGATAGGATGGAAGAGCTCTTTTCTTTCTTCTATTCTTCTTTGAGCAGTCGATATACTTGTCCAGAAAAACATGTTCACTGGTTCAAAGTTGTAAAACGAGCGCCTCCTGCTTAACTCTAACCTGTGCCAGGCCAAAGAAGCAAAATCTCACAGAGTTTAAGTCAAAGATTTTATTTCATTGAAACCCCAGAGGAGGCTAGCAGGTTGGCAAACACAAGTGAGACCATCACTTGGAAGGGGAAAGCTCAATGATCAGGAGTTCAAGTTTATCTCTACATTATCAACTACATTCAGTTAGAAGCCAGCTTGGGCTACATGAAACGTCAAAAAAAAATAAGAAAAAGGATAAGCAAAAATAGCCCATAGGAACACAATTTGTTGTACTATAAAACTGGCCATTAGGCTTGAGAGAATACAGTCTTTGTCCAAGAGGCAAAGTATGTTAGAGAGCCGAGGACACAAGCCTTTGGAGTTACGAAAGCCTGACAGGGAAAAAGTTAGTTTAACCTTCCCAACATGGGGTAAAAGATATAGATTTATGACTGCATGTTTATTTTGCTTGTTTGTTTTTTGTGGGTTGTTTTTTTTTTTTTGTTTGTTTGTTTTTGGTTTTTCGAAATAGGGTTTTTCTGTGGTTTTGGGGGCTGTCCTGGAACTAGTTCTTGTAGACCAGGCTGGTTTCGAACTCACAGAGATCTGCCTGCGTCTGCCTCCTGAGTGCTGGGATTAAAGGCATGAGCCACCACTGCCCGGCTATGACTGCATGTTTGTATACAGTAATAATTTACAAACACAAATCATGGGAGAGGAATATGAGTTTTTCTGTTTGGTTTTGGTTTTTTGAGACAGTTTCTCTCTGTAGCCTTGGCTGTCCTGGAACTTACTCTTTTAGACCAGGCTGGCCTGGAAATCCAAGATCTGCCTCCCTCTGTCTCCCAAGTGCTGGGACTAAAGGCATGCAACCACCAGGTCTGCTAAGATATATTTTTGTTCCCTCCACTTAACACATCGTGAACAGATAAGGGACTTTAAAAATTAGTTGGCTGAGAGCCAGGGGTGGTTCACACAACTTTAATCCCAGCTTAGGTGTATCTATGAGGGTTGGGAGCCTAGCCTGGTCTACATAGAGAATTCCAGGACACCAAGGGCTACATAAAGAGACCCTGTCTCAAAAAAAAAAAAAAAAAGTTGGGTGGGATGACATTCTGTGATCCCAAAATATAGGGAGGTAAAAACTGGAGGCTCAAAGCCAGCATCATCCGCATATCATATTCCAAGACATCAGGGCTACTTAGACCCTGTTTCAACAAACTAAATATACAATATATTTGGTTGGGTGTGCTATAATCCCAGCACTCAAGAGGCAAAGGTAGGTGGATCTCTGTGAACTGGTGGCCAGCCTGGTCTATGTAGTGAGTGCCAAGCCATTGAGAGCTACACAGTGAGACCCTGTCAAAAAAAAGTTATGCCGGGTTAAGAACATAACTCAGGGTCTGGAGAGATGGCTCAGCGATTAAGAGCACCGACTGCTCTTCCAGAGGTCCTGAGTTCAATTCCCAGCAACCACATGGTGGCTCTCAACCATCTGTTATGAGATCTGGTACCCTCTTCTGGTGTGCAGATATACATGGAAGCAGAATGTTGTATACATAATAAATAAATAAATAAATAAATAAATAAAATCTTTAAAAAAAAGAAAAAATGTTATTTGGGTCTTCCTTTTAAAAGTTCCAACTTCCTGCTTCGCTCTCTCTCTGCTTCTGTTCCTCTACTCTCTTAGTCTCTCTACTCTGCTGGGCCTATAATAAACTGGTTAATATGTCTCATCTTGCGCCTTTTTCTTTATTTCTAACTTAAGCAAAAGAATAACGGGGGGGGGGGTAAAGACGGGGTTTCTCTGTGGCTTTGGAGACTGTCCTGGAACTAACTCTTGTAGACCAGGCTAGTCTCGAACTCATAGAGATCTGCCTGCCTCTGTCTCCCGAGAGCTGGGATTATTTTTAAGTAATCATTTTTAAATCTTTATTTATGGGGAGGGCAGAAAAAAATCCTTATTTGGGGCTTGGAATATGGCTCAGTGTGCTCACCTAACATTTGTGGTTCAGCCCCAACACTGCATAAAAACCAGCATGGTGGGCAGTGGCTGCGCACACCTTTATTCCCAGCACTTGGGAGGCAGAGGCAGGCAAATCTCTGTGATTTTGAAGCTAGACTGGTCTACAAAGCAAGGTACAAGACAGCCAGGGCTGCTACACAGAGAAACCCTGTCTGGAAAAACAAGAAACAAAACAGTAGGGAGACACCCTAGCCCCGCCCAATAGTCCTGGGACAGGTGCCAGGTGGACCCGGGACTCGCCCTTATGGGCGTGGTGAAGGAAAGCCGGGGTGACATAAGGGAGCTTCTTAAGGGCTGCACGGGAAGACCCTAGCCCCTTTTTCTGGCCGTGCTTGCTGGGTTCCTGTAACCTCACTCTGGCCTGTGTTTTGCCCTGGTGTTTTCTTGAATAAAGAGACTTTACCATCCCGGATTACAGTTCATCTTTTGGCCCACGCTCCAACCTTTATTCATCACAAAACCCCAAAACAAGGCTGCAGCCATGACTCAGAGGTTAAGAGCATTGACTGCTCTTCCAAAGGTCTTGAGTTTAATTCCAAGCAACCACTTACATAGTGGCTCACGACCATCTGTAATGAAATCTGATGCCCTCTTCTGGCGTGCAGGCAAACATGAAACATGCAGGCAGAACACTGTATACATAATAAAAAAAAGTCTTAAAAAAAAAAAAAAAACTCAGCATGGTGACACATACCTGTGTTGCCAGCACTTGGAAGTGGATGCAGGAAGAGCTGAAGTTTAAGGTCATCCTCAGTATACAATGTACTCAAGAACGACCTGGGCTACATGAGATCCTGTCTCAAAATTCTTTATTCTACTGAGTCAAAACGATTCGGATTATATTGTGCCAGCCACTTAGATGGCAGCAAGGCCAGGTGAACCTGAAGAATCAGAGATAAAGCAAATGGAAAGCTGACTAGACACAGCTTCATTCAGCATGACCTCCAGCTCCTGGATATTGGTACATTTCTGTTAAGTCCTGCATTGTGAGAGAAGAAAAGCGGCAGGTATGCCAACATCTTGGAGACATTGTCTAGCCTTGTGTTCCAGAAAGCCTGGCACAGCATGACAGCATGGGACCACCAGCCTATAAGGACGGCTGTGTCATCAACATGCTCACAGACTAACAAGACAAAGCCCAAATGGTTCATGGGTTTGTTCCAGCCAGGCCTGTCCTACGCTGAGTCAGATGATCTCCTCTCCTTGTGACACTCAAGATTTCCCTCCCCCCTCCTCTTCCTGATAGGGTCACATCCCTCTCGATTGTACCTAAACATGCAGCACAAAGTCAGCGTGGGCACAGCGTGTGATAACCACCAGCTTCTTGCCTTTGTCTTCCAAGTGCTGGGATTACAGGCAAGTAGCCAACCTGGATTTAGTTCTGATAACAGTCACTCACATTAACAGCTTTAGAAACAGTGCTAAACCAGGCATTGGTGGCTCACGCCTTTAATCCCAGCGCTTGGGAGGCAGAGGCAGGCGGATCTCTGAGAGTTCGAGGCCAGCCTGGTCTCCAGAGCAAGTGCCAGGATAGGCTCCAAAGCTACACAGAGAAACCCTGTCTCGAAAAACGAAAAAAAAAAAAAAAAAAAGAAAAAAAAAAACAGTGCTAAATTGTGTACGTAACCAGGAGGGCAGTGACTAAGCTTCCTTCTAGTAGTTTTTGTGTTCCTTGTGTGTGTGTGTGTGTTTATTTAATTATTTTGTGTAGTTGTGTATATGTGTGTGCATGTCACAGAATGCTTATGGAGGTCAGGAACAACTTGTGGGAGTCAATTCTCTCTCTTCCTCCACCACATGGGTTCTGGGGAAACTGACCCCAGGTGATCAGGGTTTATGTCAGGCACACTGACTCTGAGCTATTGCTCTGGTTTCTTGAGTTTTTTGTTTTCTTGTTTTTGTTTTAAATATTTTATTTATTATGTATCCAACATTCTGCTTCCACATATATCTGCACACCAGGAGAGGGCACCAGATCTCATAACGGGTGGTTGTGAGCCACCATGTGGTTGCTGGGAATTGAACTCAGGGCCTCTGGAAGAGCTGTCGGTGCTCTTAACCTCTGAGCCATCTTTCCAGTCCTTTTTAAAGACTCTTTCTTTGTGTCGCATTGACTGTCCTGGAACTAGCTCTGTAGTAGTGAATTGTTGTGCTTGAGTGGCATAAAGAATACTTTCCACCTCCTAGCACTGTGAGTGCAGGTGATCTGACCACGGACACCCTGTAATTACAATACATGAAAGTTATAATTATCCACTGGTTTGAGTTTTTATGAGGCCTACAAGGGCAGGAAATGGAGGTAATATGCTTAATGAAACACAATTTTGCTTCATAATGAATATTAATTTAATTAATTAAATTTGCACCTTCAACTGGACCCAGAGGGCTTGTAAAAACACATTGGTCATCGAATGTTATTTAAACTTGGTAGTTCTCTCAACTTCCTCAGGCCATTCTTTTTTGGATGTATTGGCATGTGTCTTTGGAGTTTCATTCATTGGACAGACACCTGAAATTACAGATTGGGGACAAAGAAAGAGGGCACCTAAGTTTCCAAATACAAAATTCCTTTCTACCTGTCCTGAAGTGAATCCATCTAGGGCCCAACTGGCAGGCTGTAATGCTGCAGTGGAGAT